GACGTGTCTGGGTCCCCATAGCAACGCGGCTGTAGTGCCTTGTGCGCTCCCTGTGCAGCGCACACGTCCTGCCAGTGAAAGATCGGGAATTGCGGAAAACCGGCTCAGGAGACAAAAGGGAGATGAGAGCGTGTGCGAAAGGGCGCAGATTTTGGTTCTGTAACGTGGTGTCCAAAATAACAGCCCTCGCCGGTCCCAGAAAAACCCGGTTCGTGCTTCACGTACAGCAAAACCAGCAGATAATGTTTATCCGAAGACAAAGTGCGCTTGATGAGGCTTATTTTCCATTAATTTATTGCCGTGCGTGTGTTACAACATGCTGCAATAGCAAAGCTGGTTGACATAAGTGTGCTTCTGACACCTGTAAAGGGTTAAGTAGTGTTGGTTCCGTGCCTTTTGTTATGTCCACAGCTCTGTCTCTATTGGGAAAATGCCCCCATAAACCAAATATTTACATAAAAGCTGTGCAATCCAGATTTGCATTCCAAACAAATTTTGAAAGTGTTACCGTTCGTTATTTTTCTGTGATGACCATAATAAAGTTCAAATACATTTTTATATGATTATGTTCTTTATGTATGAGGTGAGAGTTTAAAAACCAAATTTTTCTGCCCTTGTCAAAAGCATTGGATTAAGTGGGTATCATATAGGGTTCGTGTCAGATGCACTTAGCTAAATAGGAGGTGCAACATTCAATAATTTCATTCAATAAAGGGTCCCTAGTGCTGAAATCGGCAGTGTCTCCATTTCTGCTGGAATTATGAATATGTGAACATGCTCTGATGTCTTTCAAAATGGTTGGTTTCTCTGAGTAAAGCAGCAGCTTTTACCTGCCAGCTCAGAATTAGTTTTTTGATAAGTAGGGCAAATGCATTGTCATTTTTCATGAAGATAAGTAATACTTACATCTTGTAAGGACGTGACAACTCACAGTGTTTGTTAGATCTCCTTTTAAAAACAAATCTACCCAATAAGTTGCTGGATACTATCTGTAAAGCATAGAATTTCAATTTTGTAGGTCTCAAGCATTTTATTTAATGACAGAAGAGAACTGCCTTTTCTTTCTATGAGGAAAATATTCATGTAATCTGAAGTTAAAGGAATCAGAACCTCAAAGTAGGGGTATTCAGATTTTGCACTCTTCTGGTTTTTTATATGTGCAGAGTTTAAAGGGTAATCTGAGTCGAGTGTCCCAGGCTGACTGGATGAGTGAGTTTTTTTGCTGTACATCCACTTGTGTCAACACAGAAATTATATACCATGGAAAGTATAATGAGGCAATCACAGTCATTACAGAAAGAGAAAATGATTCGTCATTAGAATGGAGATGCTCACCCTCCTGTGAAATAAATCCTAGCTAGTAATTAAAATTAATACTGTACTGCATCTAGAAAGCATGAGCTCCACATTTTGACTAGCCTAGACAGACCTATTCCTGGTCTTGTTTCAAGAGCAACACTGTTCTTGTTTCAAGAGCAACACTGATGCAGTCAAGGTCACACTCCTGAAAATTGTTCACACTCCAGCAAATAAACAGTACAGGGTTTAATAATAATTTTAAAAAATTAAATAAATTTAAAAAAATATCTCTGCTTCCCCACTGCAAACACTGGTCCAGCTGAAAAGACATAAAGCTAGCAGGTTTATTAGAGGATGTGACGTTCTGTAGATTTTTAGTGACCTATACTTCCTGGAACACTGAACACAATGGAAGAAAGAGAGGACTGTGAAAATGACCACTCACAAAATAAAAGGTCAGTTTTGAAACTTTATCAACAGATTTCTACTAGTGCCAGTATTTTGGATGAAGCCCAAAAAAAGCTTTAGGATGAAGGCAGAATCCAGTCAAAGATGAAACTGTATCTGCCAGAGCAGAGGTCTGCAGTCTAGACCCACATACAATTTGCAAATGGAAAAGTCTCATCTCTCTTATGGAAAATGTTGTCCCATGCTCAAGAATCTTATGTTTTATGTTAAATATAAAAAAATCTATCTCATGTGTTTAATATTAAAACAAAATCTTCAATACTACCCCTATATCAGTCTCAACCTGAACTTACAGATAACTTGAAATAAAATGTAAAATCAATATCATCTTCTCTTAATTGTATATAATTCCTTATCTGCCTGACCTTCCATGAAGTGAAATTACTATGGGTTTAGTTTCTTGAGGGGATGGGTGAAAGAGCACCAAATGAAGTTACTCACAGTCTTGGCACACAGAAGCGGTGAAATGGAAATCATCCATGCTTGTGTTACACAGCTAACACGGACAAGCCCGTGCCATTCAAGGAAAACAGCCTTGTTTTCTGTTTCTGTCCTGTACAGGAAGAGCAGCTGTCATCAGCTATTGCAATACCTGAGACAAAATTCCCCAAAGGACCATATAATTCCTGAAGCGGATAGCAACACCTCTCAAGAAGAGTGAGAGGAAAAAAAATAGGGAAGATAAATAAAGAGGAGGAGAAAACATTACCCTTGGGACTTTGGGGTCTGGATTTCTAATTATAGGAGGAAGTAATTTCATTTATTTCTGGGATGCACATTCTTCTGCAAAAGGCATGGATCAGCAAACTCCATCACTTTACTCTGTAATCCAGGCCAGAGTCAGCATGAGGGAGTGTTTGGCCAGGATTGGGGAATTGAGGTAGGAGGACAGGACCATTTCTGTTGCAGGCTGTTGGTGTTCAGTGACCACCTGGAGACTGGTCATTTAAAGTGGAGGTGCCACAGTCCTGCTCTCCCCCAAGCCCCAAATTCCCATGTGTGCACTTGTGCTGGCACTGGAGCTCAGGACACCAGTGGATGAGACAGTTTGAGAAGCCAGGCTGCTCAAAAATGAAGACCTTTTGTTCTCAACCAGCTGAGCTCCCTGAAGTGTTTTCCTGGTTATTTGCCTGCATGCCAGCTATCATAAAAGAAAGGGAGTGGCTGGGTGGCAGGCAGAGAAAGGAAAGGACTGAGAGTCAGCTGGGATCACTTTAAACTGGCACCATATCTAGAGCTGTGTGAATGGCAAGGTCGAACTTGTGCAGACATTTTGTCCAAAATAAATTTTGTTATTGCTTATACTGGCATCTGTGCCCGATGGGAGGAATGAGGAGAATGGGCACTTGTCCTACCAAGCTTTTTGGCACTAACTGTCCTTATCAGCATTAGTTAAACCAGCCTGGGGCAAGTCAGGCTGATATGCTGAAAATAGCAGGGACAGTCAAGAGATAGTCTACATTAAGTTCTCATCAACTCGGGCTAGTTACAGCAAAGGATTTGGGAAGGCAAAGCGCTGAGTATTTCATCATAGAGCTTAGAGTGCAGCTTTCATGTTCTGTGCCAGCCAGCAGAGCCTGGATCAGTGTCCTGAGAGAGCTTTCCAAGCTCCCCTCTGGCACAGGTCCAGTGAGGGATCACCACCCGCATCCTCACCTCAGCTTCCCCAGGGAGGGCACCCCCTGACCAGGGTTTGCTTTTTCTTTAACAACCTTGGGCTGTTTCCAGCTAAACTTTCATGCACTTAGGGCCTTTTTATAATGATAATCAAGCACAATCCATTACTGGGGAAAATAAGGAGTAAAGAAAAGATTATCCATCCATAGCTGAGATTTAATTGTCTTTAATTCGAGGTAATGTTTTCGAGAGTCAGTCTCGTTTCTAATTAAAATAACAGCTTTCCCATTTAGCACCTCAGTCAAGTGACAGTTGGACTCAGGGTAAAATTCACACCTTGATGTGCTCCTCTTTTTGGAGAGACAGTTTTTAGCAAAGACGTTTTAAGAGGGCAGCAATTTACATCTTTGTCTCTCTGTCTTATTAAAGCTTAGAAAAATAATTTGCCTCGAATAATTTTCTTTCAGCAGTTACTTGGATGTTTGCATCACTTTGAAATTGAGAAAGGAGAAAGAAGGAAGAGCAGTCTCTTACCAATGGTGGTTTGAGTTAACCCAGGCTTAAAGCTTTATATTTTTGCTGTGAGAAGGAAACAAAATCCATGTAATATAAAATAGATTTGCTTTGTTTGAAGTCCATAAGAGGAGTGCATTATGTGATTCATCTTTATAGAAATATGAGTGCTGCCTTTTCTTAGTTATATATTGGAGATTTATTTGTATTCAAATTTTCATTGTCCATGAAGATGGCAGTAAAAGTGCAATGTCTGTTGGCTGGAACATTAATGCAACAGACAATATAGACCTATACTCTTGCAAACTATTTTTCTGAGTTTATATTCACCACAGTGATGGTTGAAGAACCCTTCACTTAAAATGAAAAAAGATGTGATTTCCTTATCACTTAGAAGTGATAAGAAAATGCATCATTAGCAGCTGAGCTGAAGATTTTCAGCTTGAACCCGCTACTCTTTGTCTTATCATTGTATTTTCTGTGAAAAGTCACTCTCCATCTTCCTTGTAGGCCCCTTCAGATACTGGAAGGAACTCTTTGGAGAGTACAATTGAACAGGAGGTTAATCACAAGTATGCCAGAGGCAATGGCCTTAATCCTACTCAGGTCAGTTTTAATAGTACAGAACTAGTAGTTGATGGTGGCTTGGACTGCATTATGAACTTCCAGGTTATTCTGGAACTGTTATTGTGCAAGGCGTTTATAAATGGTCCTTTAGCACTCACCAGTCTCTTTGGTGTCTGTGTCCTACCACTTAAGACATTTCCTGAACAGCTACTCAGCTGCCACTGCCCTGATAGGCAGCAAAGTTTCTCCTGGTTGGCACTGCTGACATTGCCTAGTCACTAGCAAGCTACTCAAAGCCCTTTACTGGGATGAAATTCCAGAACCCCTGAGGCAAGATTCTCTGTAATCTGTGGAAACTACCCTTTCTTACAAAACCTGGTGCAAGCTTGTGAAGAGAGCCCAAGAACAGGCAGGAAGGTGCCATTTCAGGTCTGTCAGATCTTCTATGGAGTCAGTAGCTGAGATGCCTTCACTCCTTGTCTCACACTTCACCTCTCACTCTTGACCAGTGTGAGACATTCTGTGTTCAGCTGGAAGCTTTCTGACATGTTTCTTGCATAGGTGTCTAGCATTCCCCTTTCCTGGGAGAGCCTAGATGGATAGCTCTGGGCTGTAAAATCTGCTTGTCACAGGAGCTTATGTGTTTTAGGGTAACTGCAACAGTTCTTAAAGCCAAGCTCCTTAAAGGTAGCTCAGAGTTAACTAATGTTGTTTCCAACAAGATAGTTAAATAACACTAAGAATCTGTGTTTTGGGGCCATAGTTACAGAGATTCTGACAGTACTTCCACTGAGTACCTGTTGACGCTTCATATGAGGTTGTTGCAGAATGATAATTTTTTCCAATTTGATTGAAGCTTTGTGCTGCTCAGTCTTCTGAAGTATCAGCTTCGCCTGTCATGAAAATCAGATCTTTTCTTAAGAATGAAAAAAATATCAGAACCTGTTTGCAGCTGATAGACTGGGAAGAAGACCTGTAGAAATCACAAAAATGACCCAAATAAAAATACTCTTAACTTGAAAGAAATTAAGAGGATTTTTTTGCTTGTTTGTTTTAATTCAGCCTAAATATTTGGGGGTATATGGAGAAGGATTTTACTCATAAGTTTTTGGTTGGCTGTACTACATAATTTTACTAGCCCATTCTGAGTAGTTCTGAGAAGTAGTGGGTGCTACTTCTTCCTCCATATCCTGTTCCCTGGGTACTGGTCATGTACCCTCAGAGCAGGTCTCCTTTACTGCTGCACTGACAAACGTGACAGAAACCACCCTTTGCCCTTCATTGCTTTCCTCATTGCAGCCACACCCTGCTGGCTACTGCAGACACAGGGAACCCACACGGCTTCTGTTCAGGGTAATGTTTCTGGTTGTCCGAGTTGGATGTTCTAAAGGAGCCTTCCCCCAAGGAGGTAAAAGCGGAACAACTTTCAGTGTAGAACTTCACTCGTTTCTGGAGGGAGTGTATGATGGCTGGATCTTTTAGCATCACATCATTGTGAAAATCTCACTTGGTTTTTGGGTTTTTTTTTTTTTTGATTGGCTGGTTGGTTTTTGTGGTTTGTTTCAGGTTTTTAGGTAGGCTTATGTAATTTCCCCTCCTACTGTATAAACAGGTTGGGTTGGTTTCAATAGTGCTTTGTAATTACATTAGCCCAGGAAAAAAATGCTGACAGTGTACAGAATACATACTTTTATGGCTAACAACCTTTGTGAAGTCTTGCGTAACTGTTTACAATAAAACCTGTTTAGAATGGCTCTCCAGAGAGCCCGTGGCAAATGTTTGCCCAGGGGAAGTAGCACCTAGCTGGAAGTCTAGCACTGTTAACCTAATGGCAAACTAGAACAATGTCACTGCTTATTGTGTGTGGCACTTATTTCAGAATTCTGGTGTATCTGGGGACATTCTGTGAGTAGTCTTCAAACAAAAAACAAAACTGCTTTTCAAATTGTGTACTTCAGATTTTTTTCTGAAAGCATTTTCCTCTTTTTTTCCCATGCTTTCAGCTTATTGCCTCTTGTTAAGTCAGAATTCAGTGATGAATGTCATCCTGAATTATATTTTAATGTTTCATCAATTAGTGAAATGCTCCAGAAGGATGAGCAAAATGTATTTGGAGTTCAAAGCTCAATGGCCTGACATGGAGAGGAGAATGGAGAGGCAGGACAGCCAGAGTCTTAGTTTTGCTGTCTGTTGAAATCTCTGGACAATTTGCTTCTTCTGAATAACTGTATGATTAAATATTTGCTTGTCTGAAAGGGACAGTATGAAAAACTAAAATCAATAGCTTATAGTTGCCAAAATACTTTGTTTTACCTCCATCATACAGGAAACACTGAAGTGCAAAAAAAGTTATAGGAGCTTCTAAGGTCCATTTCATAGGACAATTTAATGCACTTTATGACCTCTCCCTTGAAGTTCAGATATCTGTTTACAGTACAGGGTAGCAAAGGCTGATGCTGTGTCTGCAGGGACAGGAAAAACAGCAGTCTTGGCCCTTCCCTTCCCCTGAGCTCTCACTACTCCCTTCTACTCCTCTTCTTGGCAGTGTTCTGTGCCTTGCAGCCACTGGGGAGATGGGATTGGGCAAATCCCACAGTTCAGCAAGAGAAAAAGAATCATCAGGATAGATGAGGGTTGAGACCTCTCTTAGGCAGGTAAGCAAACATTTGTATCATCAGTTTCAATGATAGCTGTTGATATTCCACCTAAGCAATAGTTCACCTAAGCACAGGCTGCAGGAGAAATCCTGGCACCTCTGGAATGAAGGGCTGAGCTCCCACAGGCTTCAGATAGGTCAGAGGGTCCCCTTGCAAGGTTTGGCTTCCTGACATCCCCCAGGCAGCAACTTGTGGTGGCTCAGGAAGCTGTGACACAGCCCCAAAGAAAGGTCAGGCAGGCAGTGTGGTTGTGATTATTTTATCAAGTGAAGTGAACATCATCATTCCCCTGTGCTGGGCACTGGTGAGGTCACACCTCAATCCTGTGCTCACTTTTGGGCTCTTCACTGCAAGAAGGACATTGAGGGGCTGGAGCATGTCCTGAGCAGGGAACAGAGCTGGGGAAGGGTCTGGAGCACAAGTCTGATGAGGAGCAGCTGAGGGAGCTGGGGGGGCTCAGCCTGGAGAAAAGGAGGCCCAGGGGAGGCCCTATCACTCTACAACTCTCTTACAGGAGGTGCTCCAGGTGAGGATCAGCCTCTTCTCCCAGGTAAAACAAGAGACAGGACAAGAGGAACTGGCCTCAAGTTGTAGCAGGGGAGGTTTAGATTGAGCATTAGGAGAAATTTCTTCACAAAGCACTGGAACAAGCTACCTAGGAAAGTGGTGGAGTCACCACCCCTGAAACTACCAAAAAATGTAGTTATGACCCTTGAGCATACTCGATGGTTTAGTGGTGGTGGTACTAGGTTAGCAGCTGGACTTGATCTTAGAGGTCTTTCCCAACCTTGAAAATTCTATTATTTTAGCTAAACCTGTTATTAAAAGGATGTCAAAATTATGAACACTATTGTCTGCTTGTGCTTGAAGTCTAAAAGGTTACAGTTATGAATCATGGCTCTGTTTCATCCAGTACATATGCATAACAAAATATTGATCTATGTCTTAAGTAACATCTACTCTGTTCTCCAAAACAAGTATTTCCTTTTAGCACTTCCAAAGGCGTGCAGTTAATCTGCCATCATGAACCCAACTAAGATAAAAGTAAACTATTCAAGATAAATTGTCTTGGTGGAGATACAGCATTTTCATTTTACCACAAAATAACATTACTCCAATGATAATTGACCTGGCATTGCAACCTCATAGCAGGTCAGACAAAATTAATTTTAAGTGTGACTTTATTTCATGATAGGCTCTCCTTAAGGGTGTAGCCTCCTAGTATATTTATTGTCTGTCATTTAAGATGGTACTGTTCTGAATGCCTTACTTGTCTCTCTTTTGGAGGTTACTACTCCAGTAGCAGAAAAAGCAGAACAGGAAGCATACCCACAGCTCAGCTTCACTAGTTTACACCTTGAAATCTGCAATATCAAAGTGCTCTCATCTTCAGAGTGAACAGAAATGACCAAAAAAGGGAAGGAGAACAGCCCTTCTTTTTATTCCTACTTTTTCTGTGTGTTGTAACTTTGGGTGGCTGAAGACTGAGGCAGGGGTATCTTAGTGGTGAGCAGGGCAGGGTGCTATGAACTATCCCCTTTTTTTGTAAGCAAATGTTGATAATTTGCTTTTGCTGGCCTGAAGCTCAGTATATTATTTATATTATCCTTTAGCAGCACAGACAAATCAAAACTAAACCAAAGCATTTATAAGTCTTGACCAGAAGTATAGGTACCCTGCTTTTCCCTGCAAATGGAGAATACCATTTTTAGGGAAAAAAAACCCCAAACAAAACAAACAACCAAAGGTATGGCACAGATTTGTCATTTAGACAATGCATGCAATGAATTAAACAGTGTCCAGTAAGGGAAAATACTAAGTGCCTCTAAGGCAGGTATGAAACAGATGGAAGGAGATGATTATGATAAGAGTAATAACACATAACTGCCTATTTACTAGCAAATGGGCATGCTTTCTGGAAGAGACAGCCTTTAAGCAAGGATGTAGAAAAAATTAACTTAGTTGTCTTACCTTTTCTGGGGGGACTAGTGGTAGGTATCCTTTGATGATGCTTTGATAACCAAATAATGTCCTTTGATAATCAAGGGAGCATAAAAGGTGTTATGTGCAATAAAAGATGATGCCATCTGAAAGGGCAGAAACCAAGAAGGTGAACAAATTGAAAGGATGGAAGAAAATACAGATAAAGTCTTGTCCAATGCAGAAGCAAAGCAAGTAGTATTTATGACATGCTGAGAAAAGGAAGTAATGGAAAGACACAAGAGGAAATGTGATCAAATTGATGAAGCTGGAAGTAAGAGGTGTTAATTCATTAATTTAGGGAGTAAAATTTTATCTGCTGAACTGGGGAAAAAATTATGCCAGCAGCTTATCAACAAGATTTTCCTGTAACATAAGAAGCAAACACTTCACAATTTAAAACCTTACCATGAAGGTCCACAACAAGTCTTAAAAATAAAATAAATAAATATAATAAAATTAATAAAACCAGCTGCTCTTTAGGTGTAAGTCTCTCAGAGCAGTTTAGAAATGGCTAGTGTCTCTTCAGGTGGTCAAAACAACCCTGGTACTTTGATGGACTTACCTTTTGCATCATGGATTTAAAGAGAAGACCACAAAATCTTCCCCTCACCAATTCAAATTCAGGTATCTCTGCCCCTGTCTGCTGCTTTTTGCTCACATACAGATTGGAACTGGGTGGCTTAATTTGACTAATACAGTATTTATGTACATCCCAAGCACAGCAGTTCCTCTCACAAACCTTCAATTCCTCCTCTGACACCCCCAAGCACAGCAGTTCCTCTCACAAACCTTCAATTCCTCCTCTGACACCAGGAGCTCTCTGTTGCTGCCACAGGGAGTGTTGTTACTTTTATGAAAAAGAAAGACTTTTTTTTCTTAGAATCTAGTTCAATACTTATTCCAGAAGTACTTCAAACCTGCCTGCACTGGCATAAATATAACCCTTTTTTTTCTATTTTTTTTTCCCCAATTTTTTCTTCAAGATCACAGGTGAGATACACATATACTAAAAAGATAAATCAAAGAAAAACTCTCACATGCTATTTTTTCTTGCCAGAGAGGGGAAAAGGTTGAGCCAGATGCTGACTCTTGTTTCCACTGCTTGTCTCTTTTATTTGTAAATGGTTATAAAACTAGCAAATAATTAATGCTGAGTAGAACACAGCACAAAACTATCAAACTTTAATGCTGAGCAGAACACAGTTTATAAACATCAAAGGCTGGTCAGGCTGGAAACACAGACTAGGAGATTATGACACTTGCTTTATGTGCTTTAGAAATGCACTATGACCCTGTGAAACTTCCTGGATGGAGAAAGCTGCCCGTGTGGCTGCTGTGTCACCAGCTGAGAAAAGCCCTGAGAGGGGGCAGGCTGGAGAACCAGAGCAAAGCTTGTCCTGAGATTTCCAACATCCCCAGTGGTGGTTTTCCCACCCATTCTCCCTCTCTGGCCAGTGTAACTGCAGGTGTAGAATTCAGGAAGATACTTTAGAAGAGGAGGACTTTGCTGTCTGGAGGTGTGACAAGGGAAGGTGCAGTTCAGTGATGCTGGACAAACACCTCGGTCCCCCTGGCCTTACTCTATACCACATCTCCCTCCTCTTTAGCTCAGGTCTTCTCAGGGAATTCTGTTCCCATACAACCCCTCAAAAACCTGCTGGCACCACCAGGGGGACAGTGGTGGACATTTGGAGTGGCAATCAGCAGGAGGGAAGGGGGCAGATGGAACGAGGAGGTTCTTCAGGCTCAGCTGGTCAATGTCTCATGTTCTCCTGCTGCACTGGGGAGGAATACACTGGATTGGGCATGGGAGAACTAGAGAGAGCATGGGAGGAAACACAACCTGGGAGATGGGTTTATCCCTCTTAAACAGTGTCAGTTACATATTTTAGTAGATGTGGAGGTCAGGTACCCAGTTAGAATCTCTTGTACTTGGAAATGCTGACCGCAGGCAGTACAAATGAAGAGTATATTAATAGGAGCAAATAAAGCCAGATAAATAATGTTTGACACTTCCTCACATCCTCTGCTCAGCTCACTCTGTGCATTTCCTCATACAGAGTGCTTATTGTTAGGGATACACGGGGAACAATCACAGCACCAAATGCTCCAGGTAAAATATAGTGATAAAGGCAAACTGTTAGATAATCTGAGTGCATTTTAAGCACTAATAAATTCATAAGCATTGGTGAAGACATAATCTTTTAACCAAGTGAGGCAAATAAACAAATACAAGAGCTAGATTTGTAGTTACCCTCTGGGAAGAAATAAGAAACAACCAAATTAATAAAATAACCAAATAACCCTTTGAGTTAAAGAGCCTGCAGGGACCATTAAAATTCAAGCCAACACAGATGCCAGCTTCAGTTTTGAAAGACACTAGGAGGGATGCTTAGAAATGCAAACTTTTTCTTTTTTAAAATATACATTATAATATTCAGAATAATTCATTTAAAAAGCTAATTTTCTGAAAGTCTTCAGGTTCTTAATTGTGTCTCTAAAGAAAGTGAGGCTGTTTAAGTGAAAATTAAAAGGCAAAAAGAGAGAAAAAGAAGATAATGAAAATGCAGACTTTAAAAATGTAAAAGAAGCCCATCCTTCCAAGAAAACAAAACAACAAATAGCTAACACAAATGTTAGCATGTAGAACAAAGAGATTCTCTGATATATGAATCAAAATGTGCTTCTGTTTATTTTAGAAATGTAACTTTCAAAACAGAAGCATGGTCTAATGGTTTGGGGTTTTTTATTGTTTTTATCACTCCTGACATGGGCAAAGGGATTTTTTTAAATTAAAAATGTCTTTGGTTTTTTTACATTAAGAATTGACTATCTACAAAAAAAGGACTCCTTCAGATTTTCAAACGTATGTCAGGAGTTCACAGCAAGTACTGTTTTAAAGTCCTTTTCCTTCTAAGAATTAGTCAACATTTTTGTCACTTTATAGTGACACCTTAATTATACTATCTTGTGCCAGTGTAATTGCATTCAGACAGCAAGCTACAGTGATGCAAATGGTCTTCCACCCCCTCGAGTGCCTTCAAAAAAGACAATTATAGACAAGATTAAAGGCAGGGAAAAAGCAGCATTTAGAAGAAAATATATGTATAAAAATGCAGGCTTTAGCTATATGCCATAAAAGATACGTAAATAAATAAATACATATAAAAATCCAGAATGCTTTAATGATTCTCAAATGATTCAAGCAGCATTTCCAGCATGAGCTACTTCTGTCATAAACTAAAGGTGAAAGTTACAGCTGTCTTCCAGAGTACATATCTTTGATATATACCAAAAAAAAAAAGGTTTTGTGATTTTTCAGAGACGTAGAGAAGGCCTTTTTTTAGCTGAAGTCAGAAAGTAGTATCAAACATGAAGTAAATCAAAAGTTAAAAAAAAAAAAGAGTGCAAGGCAGCAACAGTAAAAGAAAAATAACATAATGGATGGAATAAAGCATGCAAAAAACATAAGAAAAAGCTGAAATTTCTAATTTTTTTTTTTTTCTTTTTCTCTTTTGTTTCTCTTCTTTTCTGAACGGGATTATTCTTTTTGAGTATTCAATTTATTTTACTAGGCAAAATCAAACACAAAGAGAGCGCAGGGCACTCAGGAATGTAACACTTTCACACTTAAATCTGATACCACCAAGCTGGGTGAAGCCTCCGTAAAGCACTTTGGTCAAAGGAGGACTGATTAGCAAAATGAACTCTGAATCACATTTCATTGTGCAGGATTCAGGGGGAAAAAAAAGAGAGAGACAGGGAGAAAGAAGGAAAACCCACCACAAAGGCTGGTAACTAACAGCTTTGTGGAGAAGAACAGAATGAAGATAAAATATCCACATTTAATTAAGCAAGTATCCACATTTTTCCACGATGTTTGGTTTGGTTTTTTTTTTTCCAAATACACAAAACCTTCTCGTTGAGAGCTCAGTGTGCAGTGGCTACACGGGGGTCAATATACAGAGAGCTGGCCAGACAAAAAACTTCACCAGCTTGCCAAAGCACTCTCATCCTCTAGGAAAACAAGTGGAACAGCCTGAAACCAAAGGACTTGAGGCAAATCCTTTCCCCCCACCCCCTTCCTGCCCCTGCACACCCAGACACAGCCTGGGGCTAGCAATTCAACCATTGAAAAGGTGCAACCATGGAATAACAATGCCGCTATCTGCCTCTGCTGCTGCTAATGAGATGTGAGCCTTTCTGGGAACTCTGATGTCTGATGGGGTGAACAATGATATTTCCACCTCGGCGATTCATTAACAAGCTGCCCGATCTCAAAGAAAATGACGGTCTCTGCTGCGATTTTATAAACCTACATGGGCTAAAAATAATCTGCTAAAAACCGGATTCCCCCAGCACATGTCTCAGCAAAGCGGAGCGGAATAAGGAGAAACATGAGAGGTAACCCAGCACCTCATCAGCATCCCTCAGCTCACTGCCCTCCTCCGGACCCCGAGCGAAAGGAGGTCAGCGGCGTGGCTGCAGGGTTAAGGATACAGCCTTGGGCAAGGAAACACGCCAGTACCTGCTGCGCATTGTTTTCCACGTATTTCCATGTATTAACGGGGATCACCGAGCTTTCCGACTCAAGGTTTGTCTCTAGGAGCAGCTACATTGGCTCTCCCGCTCAGGTACCCGTTCCCGACCCAGCTAAAATCAGCATCACCACAAGAGCGGCTGCTCCTATCAGACCCTTCCACGCAGCTGAGCCGCTCGCAAATAACAGGAACTCCAGGCATTTGCTCTTTACAGCATCATTTACACCCGATAACAGGAACAGAGCCAGGGCTGGGCTGTTTTCCTGTCTTTTCCCGCCCCTCCCTTTTTTTTTTTTCTTTTTTTTTTCCCCCATTCTTTCTGGCGGTACTGCCCAGAATATCAGGAGCAAGAATCAAAATGTGAGAAAGAGAGGTCGGCGATCAAAAAAATACAGGAAGAAAACACAAGAAGAAAGAGACAGAGGACGAGGTGCCATAAAGAACTAAATTATAAAATTTTTCCGCTTCGTTCCTATTGGGTGGAGTGTTTCTCTAGAAAGGTTTAGTATATTGCCGACATCCTGTAGATATTTCACCCGCCTCCCATTGGATAACTGCTGCACTGAAATATAATCCTCTCTCAAAAAAATAATTGTGAAATAGTCTTTGAGAGGAATGATGGATTTGTCTTTACAAACAAGCTGTGAGTCTGCTGGTAAATAAAATTAGCACTGAGAGATAAAAGAAACAATGGGAAGGGTTCCACTGATTGACAAATGGAAAAAAAAAAAAAAAAGGTTATATTTGCCTTTATAAACAAACTGTAGGTTTGCTGATAAGTGAAACTGGACATTGAAAGATGAATGAAACAATGGGGAAAACCCATAAATTCCATAATAATTAAAAATTAAGAGGGATGGTTTTACATTAGAGGGGAATCTTAGGTATCAGGTGTTCTGGGAAGTCTGTACCTCTCAAGTACCTCAGCCAGTGGGGAAAGAGAGAGGGACATGCGGCCGGGAAATTAGGATAAAAAGGATAAAAGGATAAAAATTTGCATCCTACAAAAATTTGAGAGACCCCAGGGGAATGCCCCATGGCCTCTCCTTTTATTCCAATATAGTAAAACGACTCCTCTGTCTCTTTTTGGACACAAACCTCTGGTGTTTTTGGATTAGTTTTCCTTACACTCTTGTTGGTTAGATTCATATTTCACAGTGCTATAAACAATATAAATTAATCCATTTAGGTTATGTATGATAATATAAATGCTGAAAGCAACGCAGGCTGGGTGTGTATGCCTTGATTTCATTTGCCTGCTTCATCATAGGTTGCTGCTTATTCGCTGCCTTGGTCTGGGTGGAGTCCTGTGAGAACTGGTTCTTTCACGAACTTCAGTTTTACTGCCTGTGAAATGTGTGTAACTCATTATCATACATACACATTTACTTTCTAAATATACCTCTGTGCCCTGTGTTATTCACGCTAACCTGGGAAGAACTTCCTTGGTTTGTCAGACTGGTAATGTGATCCTTCTGTCTAATGGCTATTTCTCATGTTCACAAACTTTCCCAGACAACCTTTATGAGTCAGAACCAGGTATGAAACACAGCTAAATGCAGTTCTGCTGAGCTACTGGTGCTAGCCCTGCCAGCCAAAGGTTCTGACTGGGACAACAAAAACACAAAGCAGATCAAGAGGAATGTGGACCTCTCTTGGGTAGTGGGGTTATTTATTAAGAGAGTGCTCCAACAGTTTTGCATAAATACATCTTATTAAGTGCAGAATCTTACAGGCTTGTTTGCTTCACATGAAAGAGTCTTTTAATGTTGGGAAAAAATGCTGGAGGAGAGATGGCTGCTGGTGGTGTTTCACAGCTCCTTGTTTGTCGTGGTTTACTGGGTCACTAGATCAACAAGGAACCTTTCTCTCTATTGTCAAAGTAACTTCAGTTACAAAAGGAGTTGCTGTGAGGTAATGAGCACTAATGTTTGGGCAGAGATTGCTGAAACGACCAATTAAACTCATCTTTGCTCAAAACCACCTGTTTTTCATGAGTTCCAGGACCTGGCTAATTCCCAATCAGCAGAAGAATAAGAATTCAGTTTATACTAGGAAAATGAACAAACTTGCTGACTGACATTTAGACCAGTGTAGCTTCTTTATGGTGTCAGAAAAGTGGGAATAAGGTACACCTGAACTTCAGGTGCAAAGGAAAGGAATTTGTCTCACTGGGTTGATAGTACAACTTGTTTTGTTTATTCAGTATATTCATCAATGGGTAGTAAAGGGATTGAGCACCTCTCCTGTGAGGAAAGGCTGACAGAATTGGGATTGTTCAGCCTGGAAAAGAGAAGGTGTCAGAGTGACTTGATTGTGGCCTTCCAGTATCTGGGGGGAGCCCACAAGAAAGATGGAGAGAGACTATTTACAAGGGCTTGGAGTGACAGGGCAAGGGGCAGTGGCTTCAAACTGATAGAAAGTAGGTTTAGATCAGAGAGTAGGAAGTAATTTTTTACTGTGAGGGTGGTGAGGGTCTGAATAGAAAACCTCTTACTTGGATGTGGGAATGGAAAAATGGAAAATTCCACAGATGTTGAAGGGTTCAATCTGCAGCCTTAAAAAGAACTTGGGTTAATGTAATGATGAAAGTACACAGACATTGGGTAGAGAAATTATAAACTTATGTCTGTATAGTTATAAGTAAGACTATGTTTTGAGTAGATAAGAAATTATATTAAGTAAAATAGTTTTGGAGTTTGAACTGTAATGAAATGACTTATAGAGTAGGCTAAGGATCTAGAAGCTATGATAAAGGTGTGTGTATGAGTACGTGACCTGTCAGCTTAGTGGCTAACAGACAGACACAGAGCAGCAAAATTAAGTAAAAGTGATAGGTTAATAAGTGAAAACAAGTTTCATGTCAACTGTCTATTGGACTAAAATGTTATATATTGCTGTGTGAAGAAGAAACCCGTGACTACCTTGAGCTGTGGCTGACTTGTTGCTTCTCTCCAAATCTCATGCCTTGAGACTGATATCTCATCTGGCTACTTGAGCAATAAATCATCTCAAAGCAAGGTGGTCCCATCCCTCGTTTTTCATCTCAACACTTGCAAAAACTACTCCATGAAACTTAACTACTTGAATAATTTCAGTTAAATGCTTTTATCATTCATCTATTGAAACATAGTTTTACTTCATTCATCAAAACATCTGAGTAATTAATGATTATATTTTCATTGTTTCAGACTTGTTTTTAGATTTGAGCAGTCTGATATTATTTTGTCATTAATTTGCTCATTATTCTAACTAGGATTCCTTAGTTACCTGTGATCACCCATACTTCCTCCTCTCATTGTGTACTGAAGTAATATTCCAGTATATGTGCCCACACTCATGCTTTTGACTTGTTTCATTTCTTGCATCAGCTCCATAATGCCTTTCCAGCAGAGTTCAGCTGTAGACCATAATTTGTTATACTACTACTTTCAGGGTCAGAAATTTAGATGAGAGTGGAGTACAAGATTCAATGCTTTGAGTGCTTGACACCAAAGTACAAACCTAGGGGAGGAGACCTGTGATGGATCTGAAACCTGACATATTGTGAAAGAGCAGGAGTGCAAATGAACCTTTTCTTTCAGCAGAGAACATTCATTCTTGGATGTAGGTATAGGTCCTGGATGTAAGTCTGGTGTGGACCCGAAGTTCTGATGTTAGTATCTTCTGGTTTGAATAGTCTCTTTTGTTTCCCATCTATTGGAAGGGCTGTTTTGGCAAGGCAGTTCCTCACAACAGCTATGTCTCTGGTTAGAGCAGTAAATATTGGTGTGGGCAGTTCATGAGAGGGAACAGGTTAAGTTAATCATGCAGCAAAATGTATAACAGTGCAGCAGTCAATGGAGGCACTTTGCATGTTCAGCTGTGCTGCTGAGAGTGCATCTCTCACCATTATTTATAGATGATGTGGAAGATTCCCCTCCAGCAGCTTATTGATTTAACAGCCTATAAACACACACAATATAAGGCATTCTGTTGTTCTCAGCTCACCATCAGAGCAAGTTCAAGGACACAAATCCTAGGTATGACCACTTAGGCTATACTGATGAATTTATACAGTAGCCACTAGTAAACTTTGTTCTTCTCAACTTTGTGCAAGACCAAAGAGTCACTTGGAGAAGTCCAGGACAGAGTCAAATAGAAAGTGCCCTGGCAGAATGATGGCCCAGATGCCTGACCACTGCCCACAGACACCAAACAACAGACAAGCAAAGTCAGACCAGTCTTTAACCCTGCTTGATAGGCTTTGGTTTCTAGGCAGTGTGCTGGGACCAGAAAGGGCACCATGTACACCTACAGGCCACTCAAGGAGTATCAGAACAAGGGCAACTTGTATTCCTGAATATTTGTCGTTTGCATGACAAATGTGGGTGCTTTTCCTGTGGCTGGAGAGTCCTGCCCTTTGTCCCTCTTCTTTCCCAGGTAAACTCAAACATATTGTAAGGTCTGAGCTCACAGAGAAGTCTCAGAAGTTAATTATTAGATTCTCTATATGTTGTAATGACACTTAAACAACATGCCTTGTCTTGGAGACCTCTACATGTATCTGTGAAATGAAACTGGCTGGCATGTCCTGAGCTACTGAGGAACAGGGAGGACTCACAGGTAGAGATATAGAGAAATTTAAAGTATAATAATAAAAGGCCTGTTTCTGTTGAAAAAAAAGCAAAAAATGGGCAGGTTAGGTCAGTAAATCCTTGAATTCAAGTCTCTTTTTGTGGTGAATTGATGCCAAAGTCACCAAGCTGTCACAATGTACATATTGGTGAGGTCAAGTGGAGAGAAGGATGTTTCTGGCAATCTGAGAATTTCCCATGATGTTGATGCAACGCCAACCAAATTTTCATTCTGAAATTACACTAGAATAGCGTGGACAAAAACAGACACATGAATTTGAGAAAATCCAAACACATGTGAAATAATTTAACTTTACATTTTATCACACACACCTGCAGATGGATGTATTACTAGGAGATTCATTCTCTTGTGATTAGTTTGGAGGAGTTAACGTATCTTTGTTTACAGATGGGATTGAGATTATCAAGTTAAAAGCAAGGGAAATACAAAATATTTTTGTATAATTCAGTTTATCAAATAGACTTACAAAATATTTCACTTCAAAAGCATTATTATAGATGACTCCATCTCTTG